ATTCAACATTAAATTGTAACTGCAAATAGATGATGCAAAAACAATTTAGTAACTCTATTCAAGTAAATAGTAAATTAAATTAATAATTTCATCAAAAATTAAATAGTAAAAGTTATTATAATGAACATAAGCTATTGACTAACCCGGGTATACCTTGCTGTTCCAGGCGAGTGTCAGGACATGGAGCAAGTGATGACTCTATTTAAGGACTACTCTCGCAAACTGAAGAGTAGTATACAAATGATCAAAGACAACAAATTGACGGAAAGCTGTCTCGAGTTAACGCACGCCAAGGATTCACTCAAGACTGTCACGGATTTCATTCAAAACAACAAAGAGCTGTCGGGCCTACCCATCGCCGGCCAACTCAGCCAACTGTCGTCCATCACCGACACGTTGAAACTGGACCTCTTGAGCGGCGGCAGCAATCTTGAACTGGATGGTGTGCTCACAAAACTGCAAGGTGCTTTTTGTATACTAGGTCAGGTGCAGAGTCAGGTGGGCTCGGTGACTGGTGGTGGTGCCAAAGGTCTTGTCTAAACATCATGTTTTGAAAATTAATATTAATGAAACTTTTAAATATTTATTAATTTCCTAAACATTAGATATTAACTATGTAATAAATATCTATGATTTAAAATAAATTATTTATTTGCCCTGAAATTCAGTTGAGTGTTACTAGTTTTAACAATCATACATTTTTAATTTTACTAATTGAAAAATAATTTATTATGTTATTTATTGGTACAGTATAATATCATACATAAATAAATATATAAAAAATTTAGTTTAGCATTAAATTTAATTTGTTATTCTAAAATTATGTAGGATTGTATTAAAAATTTATTATAACAATTGATGGCTACTATAATAACTTATGCTTATTATTAATACGATTACAGTTGAGTTGACTTTGAACTATAGACACCATCAACACCCATATTATCCAAGTTTTGCAAATCATTACTCTTGATATTTGTCCTAAACATTCACAAAAAATAATTTAATAAATAGTTTTAATTACATTAATACTACAAACTTTTTCTCATCAAATGCCACCCTTTCGCTGGGAGTCATATTCAGGTAACCGCCCCTATTCTCGTCCAAAACGAACAGGATCATAATGCATATGATAGTCACTAATCAGTATGATAACAAATTGATAATTAGTTTTATTCTGGTATACTAATTATAATATTAATGAGTAATATAGTACCGCATAATAAGGCCAAAAATAGGATTTCTAGACAAATATAGCCCTTATTTTCAATGATAGGTCCCACGGCTAACGGAATGATACCCAGACCTAAATTCTGTAGGGCTTGGGTGAGCCCGTACGCGGTTCCCAGTGTGCGCTCCGGTACCACCAGCGATACCATAGCCCATACAGTGCAGGCCAGTAGGGAATATCCGATACCCATGCAACTCATGCCCACCCAAGGGGTCAGGAATGTAAACGCCATGAGAGCGTGGGCGCCCATAGTAATAAGCACTGCAATCAATACGAATATCAAGTTGCGACCCAACCGGCCCATCAGTGCCCCCAATATTGGGGAGGCGCCCATGGATATCATGTATACGATACTGTTAACTGTGCGCGAGTCAGTTGCATTGAATTTGAATTTTCGTGCAAAAAATAATCTGTGTTT